TCTTTCTTGTATTCATAGCTCTCATCTTCTTCCTCTTCCTTGTATTATTCTTGTTCCTCATTCTTCTTCAAGTCTTGTCTAATCTCTTCTAGACAAAAGAGAAAATTCTTCTGACTTCTTCAAGATCCTCTGCTCTGCCTGTACCCACACACCCCTATTCCTCAAAAGGCTCATATCAAGAAAGACTTTGGTTTACTTCTTCAAAAACCTGGTATGTACTAGCACCTCATTAATGATCCTAATAATTTCTAACTTTATGTAGTCCTCACTGTGTGTCAGGAACTCTTATAAGTCTCTTCCATATATCAGCATAGTAATCTTCATTTCAACCACATAAGAGAGGCTCTATTATTATCTCCAATTTATAAATGAAGAAACTGAGGCATGGAAAGTTAAATACCTATCTGAAGTCACATAGCCAGTAAATTGTGAGCTGGTAGAGCTAGGATTTAAACCATGGCAGGATGGCTTCCAAGTGTGTGTTCTAAACAATAATGACCTTGGCCAACATGTTTGAGTATTTCCTCTGAACCAGGCATTATCTTGTTGAAACCTCACACAGTCCTTGAAAAGAATTGCAGTTTTCATCTGCATGTGAGATGGAGGTATAGAAAGTTGGCCTAAGTCTCTCAATATTGCCAGGACCAAAGCTGAAGTTCCAACCCCTGGTTCCTCATTTGTTTTCTCTTCAGACCCACTCGTTTCTTCACTGTTTCTCAACCACTGGACATATGTCAGTAAACAAACATAACTGCATACATGTTTAAATCCCTCATTTTCTTAGATCTCCCTTCCTAACCAAGACTCATCTTACTCTAGTATTTTGCGTCTCATTAGATGGCATTATGTTCTTGTCTAATGGTTCATCTGAGAGAATTGGGAGAAATCATTACCACTACCTACATAGATCTTGAGTACAACACTGTCTCCATCCCTGTATCTTCTGGGATTCCAGTGACCATTTTATGTTGCCTGGACTTCTGTACCAATATTCTGTCACCTGGCCTCTCTCCAACACATTCTTCAAGCCACAGTCAGAGCAATCTCTTCAGTTTGAGTGCCTGATTATGCCACTCCTCTGATTAAATCCTTTTAGCGCTTGGCAAATTCTTTCTCATATAAAGTCGGACTCTTCATGTTCTACCAGGCCTTGCAGGATCAAGTGGTGCCTATTTTCTAGCCTTACCTTTCTCTCAGCACATCTCATATTTATTTTAGAACTCAACCATACTGAGTTGGTTGTTTCTCAAGTTTGCTCGCACTTGTTTCCACTGAAGCCCATTTCTTTCCCAAAGAGCTCTTTCCTTGAAGCCCAAGGAATCTCTTTGGCCTTCATAGACAGGGTGAGAAGCCTCACAGTGCTCTATACGTTTTCTCTGGAGAACATATCACAATGGCAGTTAGTGAACCAAGTTTTTATTGATGTTAGTCTTTCCTACTATCCTGTGAGATTTGGGGAAATAATGACTATACTTTTCTAGTTTGCTATTATGGTTTCTACGATTATTACATAGTCTACTGCACAGTTAATAATAAATGAATAGTATTTTCTGTCATCTGAGTCAAGCTGGGCTTCTTGCCATGTACAGCACAGAATCTTATCAAAGCAGGAAGGAGATACATAGCCCAAATCCTGGAAGGCTTACAATCTAGAAGGAATTGGAGGCTAGTCATTTTATCCCAACAACTATGTCATAGTAAAACTCAACCTCAAAACTGATAGCAATAAATTCCTCATTTTCCCCCAACATGGTGTCTTTGTAGTGTGATAACTTGGTTCAGTTGAACTACATTTCCCAGAATTTCTTTCCTGGTTAAGATGGGCCATAAGAACAACTTGTACAAGATTTGGAAGGTGGAAGTGGAGCAGGAGCTGTGTTTATTCCTGGAGTGTCTATTTGGGTAATATTTGCTGCCACTTGAGCACATTTTCACAGATCTGCAGGCTCTCTGTGTGGATGAAGCTGAAAGTTTCCATCTCTGAGGGATTATTTCCTTCAGTTCTTAAATCCTGCAGTAAGAATACCAGTTTCTCTTCAAAGCATCCCCAGCAATGAGAGTGGAGGCTTAGAGATGGGAAGAGGCCAAAGAGACTTCTAGTGATAGGCAGATGTATGTTCCTGCTAGTTCTTTGCAGATTCCAGTGTACCTTTCTCTCCCTAATTTGTGTCCATTTTCTGATCCCAACTGTGACTTCAGTTTCAGCATTCCCTTATAAAAAACACTCAAATTGGACTTTCATGCCAATGTCTGTAATTGTTTAAGGTTCAATTCTATTTAAACCTTTGCACATTCTACATTATTCCAAGGGTTCTGCTCTTCTCCTTGAATCTGACTAACACATTTTGTTAGTTGGCTTACAACTATGTTGGCTGCCGCTTGGTAATAGCTTGCTCTTGAGCCATCATTACAGGAGTTAGGCTGAGATCAGGCCCTGTGGGGGTCATTCTATTCCTGATGCAGAGGGGAAAGAACAACTGAGCTGGCAGAAGCACATCCTGACTTTTAAATCTTCTTTTCAACCCTGGCATCTGAAATTGTCATGTTGCATGACCAAACTCAATGCAATGTGGTAGGGAAGTATGATTTTCTGAAGGAAACACCAGAGTCACAGGGAAGTGGGTGGGGACAAATGGAAGATGTGTATAGGGAGAAAGGGGGATAATTGGGAACAATTATGTCATCTACTAAAGTCCTCTACCTTGGTCAAATACTTGTATTCTACTCTTTCACTCTCCAAAATTCTATATTCACTTCCTTTCCATAGAGAACACCTTTGAAT